TAGCGATTTTTACATACAGACCGTGAAATTCGAATGTAATTTCGCGTGGTCCGCCGCTCGTCTTTTTGCCCGGAGCAATTTTATTCGCGCCCGTCCCTCTCCGCTAATCGGTCGAGACCCCATGACCCATAATCCTGTCCGTGTAACAACAGTCGCAACAAGCTGACGCGCGTAGTCCAGACGTGTCTGGGATACATCCACATTGCGCGAGCAAAAACCGTTCGCGTTCCCGTCGTTGATCGACGGCCTCGGCTGTACTTAAACTCGATTGACTACCATTTTATCGGATCGCGTGTTTATCAGGCATCACTTTCTTGGACATAATTCACCCGCGACGGCACTCGCGGCGATATTCATTTTGCCGAGAAGCTCCTATGGCGTCGTTATTGTTCATGGTTGATTAAAAAATTGATTATTATTAGAGATCTAGGAACTCGATGCGCGCGAATCGCGCTAAGATTCACGCGCCGTGAGAAGTCCCCTCGCGCATTCTTCACTTCTCTAAGTAGGACATTAGTAGCTGACGTAAGAATTTCGTTATTTCTACGTACTGCGAACGCGACTCTCTCGCCTAAGTACTAATAAGTACTCACACGAACGGATGGGAGTGTTACAGCATTAAAAAACGACAATGTCCCCGATAACATCTACCCTTGACTCAGCCTGAGAAAAGAGATTACGCGAGGAATTCGTAAGGCATACAAAGAAGCGTGCGTATGAAGGATGTTGACGAAATAAAGTTATACGCCGGCAGATGGGCAGGTGGTCATTAATTCGCGGAATTCCGTAATCGCGCTCTCCATCACGCTTGTTCCGTGAAATTCCCGCTTTCCTAATGATTCTCCCTCTCGTTTTGTCTAAATAGATCATTTATTATTATTTTTCGGATGTTACGTCGACTCGACTTCGTCGGCGGACTCGGTGGCGGAGCACCTAATGAACGCATCTCCTCGTTCCTTCCTGCTCGCGTTTCCCCCGTGTGTTTGTCGATGTATTGCATGCTCGTAATCCGCGCCACGACCCACTTCCGCCCACGTCACGGAGCCACTTCTCGCGGTTCTGGACCAGTTCGGCCTGTCGTCGAGCAATCGCGGAGCGTGGCCGTGAGATCTCGTCGCGAGCGATTCTCCTTGCGTCGTGCTTTTTCTTGCGCTTCGATACGTTCCGTATGAAAGTACGCGCGGCAGTTTAATCGCCGAGAATCTCTGCAAAGTTAAGCGCTCGCGGAAACGAAATTTTTGATTCGCGAGTCTTTCATTCGCCTGTCAAACGACCACGCGACTGCTTGACTAGGTAGAAACGGGGTCGGTTTGCGTTCTCTGATTTATTTCTTGCCCGGTTTTAATTCTAATTATAGATGAAGATGAAGAGATTATTGTTTTTTCAGAATATAAGAAATTAATTAATGTTATCGTATCAGAAAAACCAAGAATCACGATTTAAGATACGTCTTGAGAACTTCAATATATAGGAAGTTACAGACAAGTATATAAGAGAAAAATATAGATAAAGATTATTTTCGATATATTGTAAATGCGAAACTTGAAATATTCAACGTGATAAACATTCTATATAATTAGCTATATATAGAATAGTATATTTTATATTATATATAATGTTATTTACAATATACATAAAAGAAAAGGAATAGATATAATCTAAAAATATTATTTTGTGTATGTGTGTGTGTGTGTATGTAATCGTACGCTGAAAAAAAAAATTTGATTCAACATCTATCAAGCTTAGATAATAGTTACTAGATGAAATAGTTTCAAGCAAATGTAATCAAATAATTTAATGAATATTAACAGATAACGTTAGCAAGGCTTGGTCCCTGTTACTGTAAGCTTAGTGGCTATTGTTGTAAGCGCAATTTGAAATATTAGATGTAATTTCGTGCACTCTTGCACTTGCGGCGTTTACTCGAGAAGCAAAGCAAGGAGAATCGGTCACCTCATTCTTAGGATGATCGACCGCGAGGCTAGAAAACGCATTCCACATGATAAATACACAGCTGCATCGTATGCATCGACTTGTATGCATGAATATCAGGCACCTATTATCGGTCAGGTTTCTCGCCGAGTAGTAAGGAGATATTAGCATACACGCATATACAAGAAAGCACATGAGAGAGTTTGGTCACCAAGTAAACGACTAACTAATGAGCGTGGTCGAGCCGATCCTGACGGATCGGTTTCACCGGTGGTGAATTAATATTCCATATCCTCGTGCTATAACAAATCGATCATTTGGTTTGATTTATTGCGTCTTCGTTCGAATATCCGTCATAGAGAACGAAGACGAAGGTCGATGTGTAAGTCGTGCGCCGACCCGGGACGGAAGTCACGCACGATGAAAACATCGTAAGGACGATGTAGAAGGCGTTTCCTGGGTCGTTTGGAGAACGAACAGATTCGCCCGACCCAGCCCAAGGACAATGAACAGTCCGGTAAAACCCAGTGCGAGGAATGCGCGCGAGGTTGGGAAGGCCGCGGGCGTTCTTAGGCAGTAACAGGTTCAGACTTAACGGTGCACTGCCCCCACTGGCTACGCCACGGCATGGCATTTCTTGTGCCACCGTCGTCGGGCCTGCTCGGTCAAGGACACGTGGAACCGGGTCACCTGCCTCCCCGAAACCGCATCGATTCACCTGAGCATCATCGGAACTCTATCGGTCATCCGCGCTGCGTGCGATTATGGCAAGGCGGGAAATTTCACGCAATTCTGTCGCTAAGGATGTAGATAAGATAGGGTGAAACACACCCTATATCGCAATTATTGATATCCCCTTAATTATTACCGCATCAAAGAAGAACCTGGATCTTCTTGTGATCAATATTGCAATTAACCCTTCATTTGGCAGACGCAAGAAAATTGAAGGAAAATCATTTTTGCGTGCTAAATGAAGTAGATGATGTCTCCTAAATAGTTATATTGTTTTAAAAATATCATGTCTCTTGAAAGTAGTTATATTGTTCTCAAAATATCATATTGAAAATATATTTCCAACGATTTTTCATCTAGTGGCAAAGATCGAAATTGAGATATCGACGAGGGGGATCAATAACTGAGTATTTTATCCTATTTACCAGGTTGATTGATAAGTCCTTAGAATGAAAATGAAAAAACATTTTGTTAGCAAAACTCAACTTCATTCTTCAACATAATCTCCTTTTAGCTCAATACACCGAGTTTCTAGCTTCTTTAAGTCTTCAAAATAATAAGAAGTTTCTAAAATATGCGTCTATTTCTCATTCAACCTCTTTTTGAAGCAAATCTCTTTCCTTAGAGTCATCTTTTGAGATTTGGAAACAGGTAGAAGTCACACGGCGCCAGATCTGAAGAATACGGTGGATATGGGAGCAATTCATATCTCAATTCGTTCAATTTTGCCATTGCTTTTACCGATTTTTGAGCTGGTGTATTGTCTTGATGAAAGAGAATTTTTTTCTTCGCTAAATGAGGCCGTTTTTTCTTGATTTCATCATTCAATCGGTCCAATAATGATGCATAATATTCTCCTGTGATTGTTCTTCCTTTTCCTCTGAGAATTATTCCATGTGCATCAAAACACAGTGGCCAGAAGCTTTCCAACCGATTGTTGCGTCTTTGATCGCTTTGGAGCACTTCCATCCTTTGGAACCCATTGTTCCGACTGTTGTTTCAATTCAGATGTATAATAGTGGATTCATGTTTTATCAACGGTTATGTATCGATGCAAAAATTCTTTTGATTTGCGCCTAAACATGTCCAAACAATGCTGAGAAGTGCGAACTCGTTCACGTTTTTGATCGATTGTTAGCACGCAATTTCACTTTGGGGTCATCCAACACGATATCATGGATTTTTTCACTCATTTCTGGTGTAGTCACCTTATTTGGATGACCACTGCGTCGTGCATCCGATGTATTAGTATGACCACGTTTAAACTCAGCAATCCAGTTATATACGGTTGCATTCGACGGAACAGACTCCCTTAAAGTTTTTTGGAAGTCCTCAATCATTTCTTGCGGTTGCAAGCCTTTCAAATAGAAATACTTAATCACTGCACGAATTTCAGTTTTTTCCATTTTTACAAAATATCAGAGGTTATGTGCTTTCGATGGCTGTCACAAATATACTAATTGTCATAGCTGTTTGCAACTATGTAATGAGAGGTTTAAAGGTTAGCACTATTGGAACTTCACGGCGCATTGGAGGTAACAACATCACTAATGTGTCATTCTAAAGACTTATCAATCAATCTGGTATCTAGAGTTCTTCAAGTCAGAGTTAGAACATCCGCTATTTGTAGGGAAGAAATAAATGAGTGAGTGAGTGAGAGAGAAGCTACTTCGTCATTTCAGTCTTAGAGCTGCTATCTCATTCCTTCCTAGAGTTTCTCTCTCACTTTCACTTACATGATTCCTAAAAATGGCCGACAGGATGCAGATCAATTATGGAATCATCATACTTTGTATAATGCCAACTCTGACTAGAGAGAAACTCTATATCTATCTATCTACCTACTCCATCTATCTATCTATTGATCTATAACCTAACCTACTTATTCGGATCAATTTATTAAGTCAGCTTTTATTTACAAATTTTCTGTCAAAAATTTTTGAAGTTCATTTTTCATCATTAGAGTGTCGAAGAATTGATAGTTTCTTACATTACACACGAGAAAAGCAATTCCATTAGCGTAACTGAACTTGCTGTTGGCTGGTAAAAATAGGGATGCCTATATGTGGACATGGGAAATGAGATTTTCTTTTTACGCACAATTAAGCGCGCGCGCGCGCTTCCCGAGAAATAAATCATTCCTATATTAAAACATTTCTCTCTTGACTTCGACATTAATTTGACAGAGAATTGGTTTTAGAATTATTTAATAATGGAAATGGAAAGCTTGTAGCGTATCTTTGAGTCTGTAATTTCGTCGGTGTAGATAATAAGAGAGGTTAGGGTTCGTTACTTGAGATCGTTAGCGTGACTTTCGTTGAAAAGTGCCTACTTACCGCAGAAGGGCACGCCTTCCGGAGTCCACGTGCCGTCGGCCTGGCAGTGTCTTCTTGCGGGTCCCAGGAGTTCGAATCCTCGTTCACAGGAGTACGTAGCCATGGTGCCAACCGGGAACATGGTGTCGTTAAAGAGATCATCCTCCTCGTCTAAGACATCTCCGATGGTAAAACGGACGCTGCTGTGCGCCGGTGCACCCGGATAACCGCATCCGGCGCCATTAGATCCTGCAACACGACGCGTTGGTTATTATCCTGACATCGTTACGGCGTATTAAGCTTTACGCAATTAACAACGTGTCGATAAGCAGATAAATTTTTTTGCGTCGGAATATGCCTGATACATGGAGAAAATTTTGTAGTAATAATTCGAAGAGTTTTTTTGGTTATAATAACAGAGATGTTATTATTTCTCGTCAGCGAGTTTTTCGTCTGGTTCCCATTTTTGGTTTTCAGTTACGCGAAGTGAAATGTTTTTTCCGTATATAATATGAATTAGACGCTGATAACAAAAAAAAATATTAATAATTAAGAGTAATTAAGAATAATTATATCATGGAGAATATGTATAGTTTTAAACTGGTATGTAAAAGAGAAATTTGTGTTATTAGGAAAAAGAAATATGCGTTTCACGTACATATAAATCGAAAAATATAAAACTCAATCTATAAGACTATTTAATATTCACGGGTGAAATTCATGCGCGAGATTTGTATCTATGTTCCGTCGAAAACTGATATTTGTATAGCAACTTAGTATATTAACGCGGCCAAAGCATGGCATGTCAAGGAGGTGCCGTTTTTACAACGTGGGAAACGCTTCACTTTTGCCCTCATACGGCGACGATGGCTATCGGGAACGACGTGTTAATTAACACGGATCGCTCCCATTTCTCTTTCTAACAGCAGGCCATTGCGTGCCGTCGATACGCCCGTGTGACTACACCCATGGAAGATTATAACACAAATTAAACAGGCGATTTTCTCCTCTGGCCCGAGGAAAAACTCCCTTAAAGTGCTTTCCAGGAATCTCAATAGTTTGAGAAACGTAATCAGCGCGAGATCAGTCATGATCTTTCCATACTCGCTAATCACACGTATCACAACAGACGTGCTCCTCCCGACGGTCACGGGATATAGGAATTTGAATGGAGACCACAAGGTACTCTTAACATCTTAAGTTGTCCATGTACGTTGACTCTAGTATGTACTGATTACTTACTTTGCTTTCTTTCCCTTTATTTTTTTCTGAAACCTTAAGTCTTAAGTCAGAAAAAGACAGAGAATAAAAAACAGAAAGCAAAAAAGCACGTTGTAGATTAAATTTTAAAATTTCGCGAATATATGTTCTATCCAAATTCGTTATTACGTCCATATAATCCGATCGTGCGCTTCACGGTGCGAAATTGCCTTAAATATCGCGCGAATTCTCGCTGCGGCGCGAAAGCTGTTGGCTCCTCACAAAGGCCGCGTTCTCGGCTATCTGCGCGGTTCAATCTCTCATGACTAATTGCCGCACGAATAATGCAACGCGTCTGCCGGCCATCGCTCCAGCTAGGCGCTAAGGCGAGCGTGCTTTTCAATCTTCTCGGCCGTTTTGTGATAGTAGACACGCAACCCCGCCTCGTCGTCATCATCGTCATCATCATCATTATCATCACCATCGCCACCATCACGCACAGGGCGCATAGGCGATGCGCGCGATGCAAGGCGGGACGTTGCTTCATAGAATTGCCCGCCGCTCCCGTTTTCAAGCCGATGATTTCAACGGGCGGCGCGAGCCTCGTCATCTTCCTGAGCAAAACGCCGATGCAACGACCGTTTTACGTTACCCTCAGCAAAACAGAGTCTCACTTACGCAACCCCCGGCCGTATCGTTTCTTGCACAACGAGCGAACAAGCATACGGGAAACCAGTGTAAGCGCCTTTACTCCTTACTCTGCTTCGCCTTCGCTTTGCTTTCCTACGAGACGAAAAGGCGAAACAGGTTTGGTGCTCCAGTACACGACCATTGCCACGCTTGTTATACCTGATTGTATGTGCACGTTTAATCTTTTAGTAAAAAACTTGAGAGAGAATAAACCGTCTTTGAAAAGCCCTAAAAAGTGCGTGAAACACTTGTAAATCAATATTATTATGTTCCCATAATTATATCCTATTATTCTAGCGATATTAATAGTCGACGCGAAAACTGCCTCTCCGATTAGAAATTTATCTAATAGCTCTGATCAGGTGGGTTCCAATCAGCTATTGGGACTATATAAGATGATGTTAGAGTCTTGATAAGTCATGTAACGCAGCGTGGTAATTAGAATCTTATTAATAATTAAGACCCGATAATATCACTTTGTATAAGCCAGATAACTGATTGGGATCGAACTAATCAGGACTATAAATAGGACTATAAATTAGATAAATTTCTAATCGGATGATTGAGTCAATAATCATACTTTTTTATTGTTTATCTTTCTACATTTACATAATTGATTATCTACCTAATTTGTCTTTTCCACGTCCACTTCTAATATCGTTAGAATATTAGAATAGGAATAAAATAGAATATAAATAGAAATGCATAGGATGTTGATTTAAAATTGTTTAGTATTTTTTAGTCTCTTAAGGGTTTTGAAGACAGTTTATTTTGTTTTTAAATTTTTTTACTTCGTACTTTTCGATTATTTATTAAAAGTTTATTTTTGAAGTTAAAAATAAAAGTTTCGTGTTTTCAGATCTTGGATGGATTTTCAAGAAAGTAATAGAGTTACCCAATTTCCAGGTTATCTGGACAAACTAAGCTCACGACATTTATCTAAGAACAACATAGATAACATACTGACGAAGTTGCAAAAAATTTAACCTCAATATCTTCTCGAGTTTTGTAGGAATATACAAACAAACCTTGAGAACAAACAAGCAATCATACAGAGCAAACTGAGAACTTCCTTTTTGTTGAACTGAGTTTAGAGTTCCGTCAAAGTATACTTTGTTTAAGGTAAATTCTATTTGTTCAGAATGTTTCCTTTGATCTCTGAAACTTAGTTCGCGGAGGACTTCAATATCTCAGAGTTTGTCGGAGCTTCGACATTCTCGATGACGAAAACCGTTCCGAAAATCGACGAGTTCATTTTTTGCCGTCTCGGGAACCTTCGTGTAACGGCTCACGCACGATGCATACCTCAACCTTGCCCGAAGACGTAGAAATGCTCGAAGCCGGGCCCTGATTATACTACGCCCTTCCGTCCCGTCACGTTCCAGTGGACGCGCGGACAGAAATAAACGCAGAAACATACACGCGTCTGCCATGCAACCTGTCATTATCGCCACCCTGTCATTTACGTTCGTGCACGCAGCTGCCAGCGATAAACGGTAGTAGTAGTGGCAGTAGTAGTAGTTTCGGCCCGAGCAAAGTGCAACGCGGTTACTGTTCGAGGAGCATTGCGAGGGAGCGGGGGTGGCGCGAGCAATACAGGTAAAACACATCGTGAGCTTCGTAACGGAAGCGATAATGCAAGCGACTCACATCCTGCGGCGGCGGCGGCGACGACGGCGATCGCGCAATCGTCTAGGAAGTCATCGGCTATGCGGATGCACGTTACCGGCGGCGGCGCGCTGTGTGCCAATCCGAAATTGGTGTCCGAGGGAAGTAAACCTCAGCGACCCGGCGAATTTCACCTGACGTTCTTACGTAAACGACCATTCTTTATTTCTTTACCGACGACCCGCGTTTCCGCCCCGCTCGAGGAGAATCTAACGCACGTACGACTGCACCGTGTGTCTCCTCTCTTGCGAGCGAGCTTTCTTTCGTGAATCGCACGAATGCGTGAGTTTCATACCGAGCGCGTCACTTTCGCGATGAGAGAGACACACGTGTCTCTTGTGGCACACGTTGTTGCCTTGACTCAAAATAATCGATAAGTCGTAGAGTGTGAGGAGAGAAACAATACTTTTCTTGCATCGTGCTCGCGCAAATTTGGAAAGCTAAATTGCTACTCATATTCAGAAAAAGAGATATGACAGTGGCAACAGTATGCATGGAGAAAAAAATGAAACTTTATTTGTGCGATATAAAATTTATTTCTCTGATTAAAGTTTGTATCCCATAAATAAATTTCCAAATATTTTCTTCTCAGTGTGATAATTACACGGAGAAAATATTATAGCAAAAGTTACAACACAATTTTTACAATCTTCGACCATACAGAATTATAACCGGAATAGTTATATATTTGTTTATAAAAATATCATGTATGTTTGACTTTTTACTACAAAATCATTGTAATTATTTGAATATTTTTTATATCGTATTTCAGAATAGTTCGTCAAAATTTACTATTTTTATAGTAATTTATAATACAATTCATTACTGTAATAACTTATTACAGTATAGTTCAACTTTATCAAAAACATTGGAAGAAGAAATATAATTTTAACGTAACTTTTATAATATTTTCTCACAAACAAACTGTGTATACAAGTTTTGTATGTAGAATGAATGTATATAGTTTCATAAACTATTCTGTAGTTATTACAACTAAAGCTGATTAGTTACAAAAATTACATAATTCTTCTGACTACAAGATAGTTTATTTACAAGACTCGTATCACTTGTACATACCATATCTTTTGAGTAGTCATATTTGCTCAAGTTCTTTTATTGAAAATTGTTTATTTTTATTATCTTTTTATTTTATTGACAATTGTTTATTTTCTGCTTTCAAATTGGAACTTTTGCAAGAAGTCTAATTAATCACAGGCAACTTTTAACGTGAAAGTTATAGAAAAGATTTTAAAGCGGGAACAGCTAATAGAGATGTTAAAAATAAACACTTGACTGAAACCACGTTTTTTCTTTCTCTTCTCTCCTTCTGCATTGTCGTAGTTTGAGATCTCAGCGATGCGAAGCGTAATCAGATATTCATCGGGACGATTTTCGCGTTGCATAAGAGCGGTGCGCGAATCGCGTGCGAAACGCAAATCGCGAACGTTTCTCGTCGAATGTACGCAGACGTCTTGGAATCAGTGAAATCGCCTCGCATCTCGCCCTGTGCATCGTACTGTGCTGTGCAACGGCGGCGAAAGACGGATGCGTCGAATATGGCGGAATTGTAGAAACGCGGAGCAATTGCACGCACGCGCTTCGCAAAAGCGGACGTTGCAGCGTGAGCTCAAGGGTCGTTGACTTCAGATGTCAGATACATGCAACTTGCACGCTATCGTTGAGCACGTCGA